CCCAGCAGCAGCAGCAACAGCATCCAGGACATGGAAAACCAACCGTCACAAGCATTTTCTTCACCCTTAAGACAGTCTGGGGACTAAAAGCCTCAACAGAGACTCAATCACAGACTGGTTTGGGTTGGGAGGGACCTTAAAGACCATCTGGTTTTATCCCCTGCCATGAGCAGGGACACCTTCCACTAGCCCAGGTTACTCCAAGCCCCATCCAGCCCGGCCCTTGGACACTTCCAGGGATGGGGCAGCCACAGCTTCTCTTTCTGGTGAACCCCAGTGCCAAGGGTTGGACCTAAAGGAGTTTCCTTCTGAAGTCATTCCAGGAGTGAGCTATGTAGATTTGGCTCAGGAGAGCCTCAGGAATTCTTGTGCTTTACGTTCCCTCCGTGGTGCTTTCACTCTTGAGCCATGAGGCCATAGCCTGGGTGGTGGAGGCGCTCGGAGTTGAGCAGTGTGGGAGATCACCCGTGTGATCTCACACCGAGGGGCCCTGGCCGGTGCAGGCACACCCGCTCACAGCCTGTTAGCCAGAGCCAGCCTGGGCTTGCAGCTGGACCAGCCCTTGGGGTGACACCACCACACGTGTGGTCATCCCTCGGGCTGAGGCAATTTATTCCCACAGGCCACGTTATTCCTGCCTGCTCGCTGGGGTGTGCAGGCTGGGACTTGCTCCTTCTGCCCTCAGACACCTGTGGGTCAGGCACACATGGCCACCATCAGCACAGAGTCATGGAATGGTTTGGGTTGGAAGGCACCTTAAACATCATGTTCTTCCACCCCCTCTCATGGGCAGGGACACCTTCCACTAGCCCAGGTTGCTCCAAGCCCTGTCCAACCTGGCCTTGGACGCTTCCAGCGATCCAGGGGCAGCCACAGCTTCTCTGGGCAACCTGTGCCAGGGCCTCCCCACCTTCACAGCCAGCAATTCCTTCCCAATATCCCATCTCTCCGTGCCCTCTGGCAGTGGGAAGCCATTCCCCCTTGTCCTGTCCCTCCATCCCTTGTCCCCAGTCCCTCTCCAGCTCTCCTGGAGCCCCTTTAGGCCCTGGAAGGGGCTCTCAGCTCTCCCTGGAGCCTTCTCTTCTCCAGGTGAACCCCCCCAGCTCTCCCAGCCTGGCTCCAGAGCAGAGGGGCTCCAGCCCTGGGAGCATTGTGGTGCGTCCTCTGGACTCTCTCCAGCAGCTCCATGTCCCTGTGCTGTTGTTCCCCAGGGCTGGAGCAGCTCTGCCCTGAACCCCTGAGGCAGCTCCAGGTGTATGGGAGAGACCAGTGGGAATCTGGCCTATTCTTCCACTCAGCTGGGAAAAGGAGATGGAGCCTCAGATCATGGGTGGGAATGAGAGGGAAGGCAGCTCATCAGCAGTCTCTCAAGCACCCCAGCTTGCTCCAGGGTGGGTGCTGTTGTGCTCCAGATAGGAGCATCTTCCTAGTGCACTTGGCAAGGACAGGGGGTGTGGAGGTGGAGGGAGCAGGGGTGGGAATGCCTCCAGGATCCAGATGAAAGAGGATGGAGTTCAGCCCACGCTCTGCTTGGAGTCCATCAGAGACATCGTTTCGTGTGAGAAAAAGCAGGAAAGCGCGTTTAAAAGAGAGGAGCAGCATTTCAGAAATGCCCTTTCCCCCTGTCTGGCAGGGCTGGGTTGGGCCTGCCCGCCGCGTCCAGCGATTTCCACGGCTCTCTGCACGCGGGGCCGGGCGGGAGCTCACCCTGCCACCGCTTCCTTCGGGGCAGAATTTCCCTTTACAAATGTCACGGAGGAAATCGTTTCCCCGAGAGAGCTTTCCCGCTGATTTGACACGGAAAGCCTGGTGTGTGCTTTCCCGGGGGGGACACTTGTCACTGGGGATGGCTGGGGAGCAAACAGCCTGCAAGGGTGAAAGCCCAAAAGCAGGGAAGAAAAGGCTCTGCCTAGGAAACACACCAACAATTCCCAAGGCAGGTGGTGAATCTTCAGGTTTACAGCCTCAGAAGCAAAAACAACTCACAGCCACATCACCTCCAAGTGTTTTGACGTTTGTGCAAAGCTGTTCTCGACCAGCCTGTTGGTAATTGGGGTGCTTTATTTTGGGTGGAATGATCTCTTTTTATGCTCCAATCACACCGTATTCACCCTCCTCTTCCCTCCCCTTTAATCTTCTCCCCCTTTCAAATAGGCCACTTTCCATACAAGTATCTCCATCTCCTTCCAGCAAAAATATATCAACCTAATGACTAATGAGCAATTAAGGCATTTGAATGGTACAGTTGACTCTTCTTTACATCAGAATCACTCACAACAAAAAGAGTATTACCCTGTCTGTTTTAAAGGCATATTATTGTCTCTTTTTCTGCTGCTTGGTGGGTTTTTTCAGGTGAACAATACAAGCTCAGCCCCATTTCTGACCTTGACATGCACGCCTCAATCAAGCTTTGCATGAGAGAAGAGACCCGCAATCAGAGGGAGCAGATGCCTATTCCCTGACCAGAAGGAATTATCAGGAGAGATTTGAGCCTTTGATACTTGGAATAAATTGTCAAGCCGAAAACTGAATACAGAAATGCCCATGGAGTGCAAAGCTTTCCATGACAGGAGCCTTTCTTTTTTCAGACAAGGGCTCACGTTTTCATTCTTTTAATGTGTTTTTCTGATACTGTGATCGAACACAGTGAGGCCGAGTGCTCCAACAGCTGCCACCTTCCATCAGGAGCTGGAGGTTGGCTCTGGTTGAGTGCAGGCCATGAGGAGGTGTGCAGATTTCTGATCTAGGGCTGGGAAGGGGAAAAAGAGGTCATCTGAGGTTTGTCTGGCCATGGGAAGTCGACGGCAAACTTCCAAACGCTCTTGTGTTTCCCGTGTTCTCTGATGTGCTCTGTGCTGTGAGAGGCAGCATGGCAGGCAACTAAGGTCATAACAGGAGGGACCAGAGCGGGGTGATCCATCTCCTAGGCCAGACTTACTCCAAGTAACTTTTTGGTATTCCCTGAATTTGTTCACTGCCTGAGCACAGTGTCCCCTGGTGGGATAACAAACTCCCCAAAGCACTGGGGTGGAGAGAAGATGCCATTTTAAACACCACCGAAGCGACTTTGGAGCCAAAGTCTGGATTCCAAAAGCCTTTTTAAACAATCAGCATTTGGAGACAGGACACTGTGTGTCAGGTCCTCCAGAGGTGAGACTCATGATAGCCCCATTGATCCCATCAAGAACACCTAATAAGGTCCCTGCTCACCAGTGTGTCCTCCCACAGACCCTGCATGGGCAAGGTGGGTCTGTGCAAAGAAGGATCCTCTTCCTCACCTTCATATCCCAGGGGGAAGGTCACGGCTCTGGGTGCCAGTGTTCTGTGGCTCTGCAGATGTGGTGCATCCGTTGGTGTTGGCTCATGTGTTCAGGGTTATCCACACAGCCTTCTGGATTCATCCTAGAGAAAGGCAATGAGTTTTTGGGAAGTGGCTCCATGCTTCACCTTTTACCACAGACCTGCACCACAAGGAAGCCTGTCCAGACACTGACAGATGTTTCATTGAGGGAAGGCCACTGAAGGGAAGCAGAGAATCTCACAGTCCTCTCTAAGGGTCTCATCTGCGGGGCAAAACACAGGGAGAAAATGTTCTCCCTCATCAGGCTCTGCTACAAATTTCACCCAGGTAGCTGCTGTTATCTCAGATGACCTGCTAAGCCTCACCCATGCAGTGCCCTCTCCTCATGCCCTGCTCTCCTGAGGGGAGAAGGGACGGGAAGGGAAAAGAGAAAAAGAGAAAAAGAGAAAAAAAGAAAAAACATACCAAACAGAAACCAAAGAAAAAAAAATCCCAGAACCATATATTACCATGAGCCATTGCTGCAAAATGTGGGTGTTCAGCACCTGGCAGCCTATTTTCTGAGGCTATACAGCACCACAGGGCAGGGTTGGCTCCGGAGCCACTTGAAGAGAAGTGTCAGGACCAGGCTGCTCTAAAAAAAAGGGAGAAGAGAAAGGAGAAAATGCCGAGGAAGAATGGCAGGGCGTCTAACACTTTGCATCTAATGCCTCCACATGGCTGCAAGTGCCGTGGCAATTTGGCCCCGCTAACAGGGATGGAGGGATGTTGGTAACATATTGCTTCCTTGTCAAATGTCTCACTGGTTTTGCAGCCAAGTCTCCTGCCAGCGAGGCCGCAGCAGCGCCTCTCCTCTACTTTCATATGCAAAGAGGTTGTTAACTCAATTGCCAATAAAATCCTAGTGGGTGGAGAGGAGGACATCTGCCTGTCTAGTCCTGCACTTGCCAACGTGGTTCTTTTATTCCTCCAGAAGCCGCGAGCTCCTACTCGAGCTGGTATTTTGACAAGCATTTCTGTTTTCTTGACACAATGGGCAAAGTGGGCACAGATCTTGCGTGCCACTCGTAATATGTTTTCGGTGCCGTGATTTGCATCCCTTTCCCGGAGGGACGCCTGGCACGGCGCGGAGCGGAGCGAGCAGCTTGGACAGTGGGTTTAGTCTGACATGTGAATGTGCCGCTTAATTATGTGTAATTGCGTTAGGAGAGCGTGAGGAGGAGGAGGCCTCGCAGGCGGCGAGGCTCTGAGGGGTCCGGGCTGGGAGCTGGGGGTGAGGGAAGAGGCTTTGGAGGAGGGATAACACTGAGGGAGAGGAGTTGTGGTCGGGAATCGGCGATGACCGTCCGTGTTAATGGCACAGCTCTTGGCTGCTGCGGCCCCGGGGCCCAACTGAGCAACCCTGCAGCCCCTTAAGGAGGCTCCTCCAGGGCAAAGGGGGCTGATGGGGCATCTGTGCTCTTGGCACAGCCGCAAATCCACCCTCAAGTGAAATGGCAGCTGAAAATGGAAGCTACCAAGTCATTAGAGGTGGCAGCCCGGTCACCAGGAGTGGGGCGGGTGGGCTTCACCCCCCAGCACTCCTGGCCAGACAACATGATCTCTCCCAGTCCTTTCCAGGCCTGAATTTTGGGTAATCTCTGCTTTCACAGCTGAGGATGAGCACCTTTGTAACAGTGTGATGTGCTTGTACCTGCAGGAGGAGGGCGAGCAGCCGGAGGGATTTCTGCGGGAGAGGTTTAGGCACACCAGACTGTACAGATGGCCAGAGCCAGAGTCTCTCAGGTATCACACAGGGCACAGTCAGCTCTCCTCCATCCCCATCCACGCCCCGTGTGCCAACCCTGCTGCCAAGCCTCATAAATCATCCATCGGCTCTCCGAGGGCGGCTCGGTGCATGGGGGTGGGAGGCTGGTCCAACTGCACGGGCCAGCAGCTGCCCAAGGGCACAGCCAGCACTGCTGCTCTGCCCCCAGCCCCAAAAACAGAGCCCTCCCCTCGGCACGGCCACCCAGCTAAAGGATTTCATGCCTTATAAACCAGATTCCCTTCAGCACAAAAATATAACAGAGAACTTTTCTTATCTCTCTGGGGAATGTCTTGAGACTCGAGCTGGTTTATTATCTGGGTTAGTTTGACATCCGAGAGGAGAAGATTGTGATCTGGAATCTGGAATGGGAAGGGGGTTACTCGGTGTTGTTTCCTACGTTCATAAATAAATGACCAAGAAGAGATACATGTCACTCTGTTTTCATTTACTGGGCTGGAGGTTCATCTTTAGAACAAAAGATCAGGAGTTTATTGTCCTATTAAATATCTGGAGGCTGTTAATAAGGTGCTGTGTTACTTTGACCATCTTACCATCCTCTAATTTGATTATCCAGTCGTTCTGGTTCCTAATTGATAATTAATTTGAATAATGTGCAAAGAATTGAATGATGGAAGAGAGAAAGGGAAACAGATGGTTGGTCCATGCAGATTGAAAACATTTAACAGGGGAAAAAAAGTATCGCATTTGGAGCACAACAATATACTTTGTTCATCTCTAGGAAGAGACCACGGCATATGTTGTGGCTCGTGTCTTCAAACTTCTGCCCTGGTAAGAGAAAGGAAGGGAAAGATATCGAGACTGCGGCACAAAAAGGTGGATGGCAAGACATGTGAGGACTCTGGAGCCGGCAGATATGAAATCTGGCATCATCTTCACTGGAAAAGAGGGATCCAGGCCATGTCATTTGTCGGAGGTCGTGTTGGTGTGGACAATCTTAAATTCAAGTTCTCCTTTAATGTGCAAAACAGTTGAAGGCAGAGAGATATAAAGCTGCAGCATGAGGGGACTTTAAGGGTTGTTTGGAAGAGATCTGTGTATTTTATGTTCTCAGATAAATTCCTTGCCTCCGAGTACATTACGGAGAAGATCCAACTGCAGGAAGCTGAGAACAGGGATAACGGCACAGGAATGCCACAGCTTTTCTTCTCCCCCTCTCCTTCCCCCGGCAACACCACTCCCAAAAGCCTCACTGCCCCTCCCAGCTCCTTATTGCCATCTTCACAATTTCCACCGACCAACAGACCCTTGGGTGGGACGTGGGTACCAGCGTGTCTGCAGAGACACCAGTCCCTGCCAAGGCATGTGCTCAGGAGCTGATTCCCGCTGCGAGCCATGGGCAGCTGCTCCAGGCTGCTCCCGCCAGCACCACGCTGGCTTTCTTCCTTCCCTGAGCCACATTGCAGGCTCCTGAGCATGTATTTTTTAAGCCATGGCCTCTGGCTGCAGAGCTCTTCCTTCTGGTGTTTCTGGCCATCGCACGCCTGAGCCTCCTACAACGCTGAGTTTTGTGGAAGCATCTTTTCCTGGAATCTACACCCACTTGGTTTTTTGGGGTTGTTTTTTTCTTTTTTTTTCTTTTTTTTTTTTTTTTGGAAGGAATGTTACTTAAATGCATTCATTTCTCTTTCAAGGACAGACTATACTTACAGAGACAGAAGAAGACAGAGTTATGACTGAAGGTAATTCTGGCTCCAACTCCGGGAGTGTAATAGGAACAAATAAGCAATATATTTTCACCCACACACCCCCAGATGTCAGAGGCCCAAAGCCTTTACATCACTGGAAAGATGAATCAGTAGCCCACAAACACATTTGTTTTATTCCATGGCCGGTGCCACACTGGTTTTGGATGTGAAAGCAGCAAAGGACTCTGCAGACACTGCTTTTTCCTTCCTTCAGCCCAGATAAATCATGTCTTGCATGTGGAGGATGTGCAGGAGAACTTATCTTTTGTCCAAACCAGTGTCCAATCCTTGATCTGTATTTATGAGCTAGAATTTCAAAAGCAGTTGAGCTGAGGTGAGCAGGATGGCCAGGGGATGCCCAAGGTCAGACATCAAGCACAATCAGTTTTTATGGGGCCTACAAAAATCATTCCTTCCATTTTTTTCCAGCTTTCCAATCCCTCCAATGGAGTAAGGAACCAAAAAAAAATGTGATTAAAGAGACTTTCATCGATTCAAATGGATTGCAACAGTTTTTAAAAGAGTTAAATTTGCAGCCTGAACTACTTGGCAGAATCTCTGAAATCATTATTCTTTTATTCATAGCAGTAATAAATAATAATAAACCTAAACATCCCAATGGTCCCCGCACCTCCTGCATCTCCCTAGCTGCAGATCTCAAACATGAATAATAATTACAGCTTATCAAATCAGCCCGTGATTAGAGACAACAGAAAGACATTTCATATTGTTAACTTCCTCGCACAAGAGGGGGAAAAAAAAATCAGGTCATGGGGGTATTAAAAATTTATATCATAGCATTTGACTTGACTCATCTCTTAAAAAGGAAAAAAAAGCCAGCATGTATTATGTATTTAGGCAATTCCTTTTAAACCCTTTCCCGACTGAGCACAAGATAGGCCAATAACTTGATAGATGGATGGCTCTACCCAGCCCCGGTGCATATTTTATTGACACGTGCACGTGCAGGCACTTAGCGTGAGCTCACACCTATAGAAAAGCCCCTATGCACAGGGACAGAGGTATAAATCTATTTATATCTCTTAGCTGAAGGCAGATGCAGAGCTAATGTTAAAAAATCTCCCGGCAGATATCATCTTACTGAAATCTGGCAGCTTTAGAAGAGCGACTTTTTTGCCAATTTTTTGTCGAGTCGCAGCAACCTCGGCAGAGCCTGGTTCATTAGCTGCCTTATTGCTGGTTGTGTTCGCTGCTTGGGTTGTTTGTTTCTTTTTCCTTTGGTCATTTTTCTGGCTTTCCTGGTCAAAAAAACCCAGAAAACAAAACAACAACAACAAAAAAAACCTTGACAAGGGAAAAAGCGAGTCCTCGGTGCCCGCACGGCGCTTGGGGCACAGATGACTGGGATAAATCAAGTCGAGCGAGAGGCTGAATTTTCAACCCCTCGCTCAGGAGATCAGGAGAGGAAACCAGCTCCTGCTTGGATGGTTTTCAGGCCCCACATCATGCCCTGTTCGCCTGCTGGGGCTGCAGATTTGCTGCAGGAGCTCTGACAGCACAGGCAAAGCAGCACATTCCGCACCGGGGGTTTTGTGTGTGCAGCACGTGTGCAAACATGCACCAGCCCTCTGGTAAGGGGGTTTTCCTCAGATGAGGGCTGCCCAGACAACGAGGGAAAGGTGTTTCTACAGCTCTGCATGAAACCCAGGGACCACACAGTCACTGGTCTACAGAGGTGACTCCACTACAGACATGAGGTGGGCAGGGGAGCCCTGCAGAGCTGGTGTCCCTGTGGGCAGGTCCCATCCCATCCATCCCTTCCCATCCCATCCTTCTCATCCCATCCCATCCCCTGCCCTGCCAAAGCTGTGCTCAGCCACCTGCCCAGTTCAAGGGGAAAAAGGCACAGTTTCCATTCCAAGGCTGCCTTGATCCTGGTGCCCGCTACTGTCCATGGAAAAAGATGCCTCCAAAGCTCTCTGGTTGCCTCCTGGCTCCTTAAATCCTCGCTTAGAATTTTCTCTAACCTGTTATAACAGTTATAAAACACAACCAGAATTCTCACACTACTCAGAAAAATCCTTTTTATAAGAGACCTAGTTCCATGACCAAGGGACACATCTTTCCAAAATGCTGCTGGAAACCTTAGGAAGGCCAAGCCCACAGCAAACACCTCTGTGCACGTGCCCTGGCATCAGCCTGCTCTTTTCAGGAGAGGTCAGCACATTTCCATGGATGCGTTAATAGAGCAGCCACCAAAATCTCCTCTAAGATGTTTTGAGAGCTTCAAAAAAAAAAAAAAAAAAAGCCCCAACCCTCAAATGTATTTTTTTTCAACATCTGCAGTCAATGAAAGGGGAGATGCAAATCTGCTGTCATTTGCATGCAAATTTTTTTTACATCAAATCAGTGACAGAATGCACAATAAACACACTTTAAATTGAAATATTCCACGTTCACTTCCTCCTAGCCTTGCCTGCAGCTGGGATCCAATTTTCATGCACAGCTCCACACAGGTGACCATCCTCCAGCGGCTCGGAAGCCAGGAAGAGTGTGGGAAAGATGGAATTACAGAGGCAAAGTAATTGCAACCAGCTCATGACTCAAAACCCAGCTGTCACGAGAGAGAGTAAAGATGAAGGTTCTTCAGAAATAAATGCTGTTGAAAGAGTCTGTATCTGCCTCAAAGCCTAAAGCATCCTTTATGATAATCACTAACATTTTGATCACAGGGAAATATGATAATCGGTCGCCCTGGAGTCCACACAATCAGGAATAATAGCAAATATCTCTGTAAGGCTTGTTTGCTACAGGCTTTAAACAGCTCATCCGATGTACGACGGCACTGCAGGGGAGGGCAGTGCCCAGACAGCAGGGCCAGGGATGTGCAGCACAGGGGTTTGCTGGGGCCACGTGGGAAGTGCAGCAGAGCTGGGAACTGAGCTGTGTTCCCCCAGCTCCTGCAGCCACACCTTTGTGTCCCACTGCCAACCCAGTTTGCAGCTCCAGTCCCATCCATCCTCATCCCCTTGCTCATCCATCCCCATCTCCATCCCCAATCTCATCCCCACCTTCAGCTCCTTCCCCATTTCTATTCCCAACCCCATCTCCCTCCCCATTTCCATCTCCATCCATATCCCCATCCCCATCCCTGTCCCCCTCCTCACCTTCATCTCCATCTCCATCTCCATCTCCACCTCCATCTCCACCTCCATCTCCACCCAGGGTCGGGTTGGATCTCAGGCAAAGGTTCTTCCCCCAGAGGGTGGTTGGCACTGCCCAGGCTCCCCAGGGCAGTGGGCACAGCACCAAGGCTGCCAGAGCTCCAGGAGGGTTTGGATGATCCTCTGAGGCACAGGGGGGGACTCTTGGGAATGGGCCTGTGCAGGGCTGAGGGTTGGGCTGGATGATCCTTGGGGGACCCTTCCAACTCAGCACATTCTGGGGTTCTGGGATTCTGGGATAGGTGGGCACCCAGCGAGACTCCAAAGGCACTTAAGGCTGGTTACTGAGATCTCCCGGGGAGTTCAGCGCAGAACCCACCTGCCTTTTAGAAATGAAATGCCTTTTAAAATTGAGCCTCAGGCACTTCTGGACTCCTTCTGAAACCCCAGGTCTCCCAGGACACAGGTGAGCAAGAGCTGCACACACCTTCCCTCCTCAGTCATCATGGAATCATTGAATGGTTTGGGCAGGAAGGGACCTTGAAGATTATCCTGTTCTAACCCCCCTGCCATGGGCAGGGACATCTTCAACTAGACCAGATTGCTCAGAGCCTTGTCTAACCTTGAAACCTGGACTCCCTTCAAGCCTGGGCAAGCAGGGAGGACACACACCAGGAAATTCTCCCCAAAAAGCCATTGTTTTGCCCACTTGTTGCACCACTGCAACCACGGATTTTGTGGGGAACTTCTCCAGACTGCCAGAGTCACTGAAAAAAAGGACCAGAAAAGAAAAGGGTCCCAGGTTTATCTTTCTTGTTTAGCTACAAAACTCTCCACAGAGCCCAAGAAGGAATGTCAAGGATAGGGCAGGGAGGTGTGATGGAGCAGCACCAGCCCACGTGTGAGCACGGACACATGTGTGTCTGTGCTCTCCTGCAGCTTCCTGAGACGAAACACCGTTTGCATTTGCTATCCAAAGCCATTGAAAATACAGAGCTGCTGAGCTGCCTCTTTTCTCCTTTTTCTTTTTGCTCCCAAGAAGTTAAAAAAACCTATTTGAGGCCACCTTATGTGGCAGGTGAGGGGATAATTGGCAATGCCTTGGTGGATCTGACATGTCTGGAGATGCAGCGAGGAGCAGCAGGAACATCTCAGAGACACACAGAAACTTAATAAATGTTGGGGACAAATCTAATAATGGCTTTGCTGTCTCAACAGCTCTTCAGCTGATAGAACTACACATATTTTCCCAGTGTTTTCTCTGTTATTTAACCCTATGGGGGCTCAGGATCTGCAGCAGTGCCCTGCAAGCTCACATCAAACACCCACAGTCCGACGTTCCCTGAGTCAGCAGCGTGTCTGCCCAAGGTCTCCTTGGCAAACCTTGTCAGCTGCCTCTGGAAAAGCCCAGGCTGCAGGTCAGCCAGTAAATATTTCCTCCCTGTCTTATGTGCCCAGAGGCTGGAAAAACGCTATTTGTGGCAATCTCCCACCTTTTCCGTTAAAAATAAAGCCGGAAAGCGGCTCAGGGCTTCCTGGAAAACGATCGGGAAAGCGATGGCATCAAGAATTTAGAGGGAAGCAGGCAATGTCCATCTGGTGCTTTGCTCCTTTTTCCATTTCCCCTCACATTTGTTGGGCAAGAGCCTTCAAGGATCACATCCAGCACCTGCCTGCAGTGACACCTCCCCATCACAAGCTAAACCCTTGCTCTGGAGAAGACGTGCTGGCACGGGCAGTTATTCCGGACGAGGCACAATAAAAGCAATCCCAGCTACATTTCCTCATGCACAAGCAGGTTTTCCTGCCCTTTGGCCTCCCATGGAGTTTGCATTTTATGGTAAAGCTTTTAAAAAACAGTTGCACAACCTCAAACACCGGCCAGCGGCTGGTTTGGGGATGGCGTGACCGATTATCCCAACAAAGGCTGTGGCAAATTCCTTGATGGGGCTGTGGGGGACAGCAAAAGAGTCGGGCAGCCTTTCCCAGTGCTGATGGGAGCACCTTCCACCGTGGATCTGTGGTCACCAGCAGTGATGTTTTGGCCAGGAGGGAGCTCTGGCCCGACCTGTGCTCAGTGCAGGCAGCCGAGCTCATCGTGGGTGTGCTTTCCTGGAACCATGGAATCATTAATGTTGGAAAAGGCCCCTAAGATCATCGGGTCCAACCATGAACCCAGAACCACCGTGTTCCCCATTAAACCATGTCCCCAAATGCCACATCCACTTGTTTTCTAGACACTTCCAGGGATGGTGACTCCACCACTGCCCTAGGCAGCCCCTTCCAGTGACCTTCCTTTCACTGAAGAAATCTTTCCTAATATCCAACCTGAACCTCCCCTGGCACAGCTTGAGGCCATTTCTCCTTGTCCTCTCCTTCGTTCTCTGGGAGAAGAGGCCGACCTCCACCTGGCTCCACCCTCCTTTCAGGAGGCCCTTGCCCAAAGTGAGCACCATGGCAGAGGTGATGAGAGCTGCTGGTCCCAGGATGAGGCTGGAAACCATTAGTTCTCCTAAAGAGTGGGTTTGTGGAGGCCTCAGTGTGAGGGCTGGTGGGGCCCTGCTAGGGAGAAAATAAGGAAATTATGGGATGCTTCAACAGGGAAATGAGTGTTGGAGCTCACACCAGGAGGTCGTGCTCTCAGGCAAAGGGTGGGATTCTGGGGCGTCCTGTGCAGGGCCAGGAGCTGGACTCAGTGATGGACTCCTTGTGCATCCATCTCAGGATATTCCATGATTTTAGGTCCTGCATCCCCCACGGACAGTAGGGAAGAGGGGAAGCCCAGTGTGGAGAAATCCAAGCAGCTGGAGCAGAAAAAAAAATTCATCAGCCCTTTTCCAGGAAAGTGCTTTGCAACCTGATTGCTCTTGTATTTGTTTATTCAACGAGGGTTTGGGGAGGAAATTCCTCGCTGCGGTGACAGACCGTGTTTCCAAGGTTATCCCAGAGCACAAAGAAAGACAACAGTCATTTTTCATCCCAGTAATTAGAGAAAGCTTTTTAGCAGATTAGTGCTAAGCAACATTTACATACAGTAATATGGTCCTAACCAAATGAAGGGCTGCCTCTCCCCCTGCCTTGCAGCAGGAGGGACTGTGCTCACAGCACTGTTCCCAGGGGATTTGAACACCCCATCCAAAGGCAGTCCAAACCCAGCCATAAGATGCCCGTCAGGACATCGTGTTTCTGGAATTTGCTTCCCCTGCTGCTCGTTGTGTCTCAGAGTCTCTTCCCAGAGGTAGATTTAAGAACAACATCCCTCCACCGCTCGGGTTTCCTTGGGTTTGCTCATCACTGACAGCAATGCAAATCCCAGGCCGGGATGCCTGGCAGGGATTGGGAATGGGGTGGACACGAAGCATTCCCAGGTTCCCCAAACCACCTTTGATGAAATGCTCCATGTCCCCTCCCCCACCCCCCCAAAAAACAACCCAAGCCCAGCCACTCCCAGCTCCTCCACAGCCATTTCCAGGTTCCCAGACTTAACAGTCGAAGGCTGCAGACACATTTATTATCTTTTTTTGTGGTGCCATCTGGCATTTGTGTATCACAAGAAGATTATATCTATGTCAAACAGGGGGAAAAATATCTCTCCCTGTAACAGTTGTAGAAGCAAGGGGGAGAAGAAATACATTAAAAAAAAAAATTAAATCCTGCGGACCATATGGAAGGTTTTTTTCTGAAGTGATCTATCTTGAGCAGTTAGGAGGTGTCACAGCCAATATGCAGATCTTGGGCTGGCTGGGAGTGCTGGGACGGGAGCAGGGTGGCAGCGTCAGGGTACCTGAGTCACCAACGCTACGACTGCCTGAAATAGCCTGGGAACATGAAATATCCCCCTCAGCTCTCCCAAAATGGGGGAAGAAGAGAAAGCAAGAGGAGAGGGAACAAAGCAAGGCAGTTTGCAGCACGTTAAGTGAATCAGAGCAGTGGCCTTTCTTTGCCTTTCGGGGTTTTATCACCGCACGTCTTGCGAAAGCAATAGGTGTGAACCCGCCGTGGAGCCCGGCCAGGTTTGCAGTGCTCGCTCGGTGCCTCCCGACGCCGGGGATAGTGGAAAATTACCGGCTTCTCCTCCCAGGCTGCCACACGAGCCTTGTCAGGGTGAAGGAATCAACCGCTGGCACGACCCGGGAAGCACCGAAGGGAGACAGCGTTGCCACCACATCCTGTGGAGAAGGAGGTGGCGAGAGCGTGGTGTGCTCGTGGTGCCCTCGCCTGCCAGGGTGGGCACGGGACCTCCCTGCCTGGCAAGGGGGCTCCATGGTCACCTCCTCACCGAGAGCATCCCCTGCAGCACGCCGGCTGCACCCCCCCGCCGCTGACCGGCACCACCGGGAGGAGAAGCACAGCCAGCACCGACCAGGGGAAAGCCTCGGTGGGGAGGTGG